ATCTATCTATCTATCTATCTATCTATCTATCTATCTATCTATCTATCTATCTATCTATCTATCTATCTGTCTATTATCTATCATCTACAAAACAGAATGAAAACAACTGTCTCTAGTTTTGTTCTTTTTTCCCTATTGTTTTATTTCTTTTATTTCTTCTTCAGTTTAAATAAATACCACCACCACCCCATGAAAACAACAGCAAGAAGAACATCAACAAAAAAAGGGTGGGAGAAAGAAACTCAGGATCTAACCCTTGCTTACATAGAGCCAGATTCTCACTCTTTATAGAAGCTGCTGTGCATCAAAACTAGGGTTGCGTGTATCTGCAAGAAAGACCAACTCTTATCTTCCTACAACAGTGGAGAGTTCCAGAGGAACAAGTATTGTAATGGTCTGAGGGCAACCTATGACATGAAGTCAAACTCTTCCAAGAGATTCTTCTGTCCCTGCATCTCAACTGGGAACAACTTTTTTTAATTTAGAAAACCCCCAATAAATCCTCTGGCTGCATTCACAAAACACAGGTCAGTTAACTAGGTCAGTTACAAATCCAGTGGTTATATGTACACAATACACCAACTTTGGATATGATAAATCGTGAATAGTTTTCTTGTGGCTTAGAGCATAGTGTGAACCAAAGCCACTTTTATGGTTAGAATTCAGTGTATTATGCAAATCCTGAAAAGGGGTTTAATAACCAGGATAACCACAGCCAACGTACACAAATCTGCTCATCAATCTAGGAATATCTGGGTTATTTCCCAGTAATTGTTTCTAGCTGCCCTCTTAACTATGGCCAAAGATTATAGCCTAAACTTGTTTTTGTTTAGTTCCCTACAGCTAGAAAACTCTTGATTCTGCTTGATGAAATGGATTTCAAGCCATGGAAAAACATGATCACAATTGGAGGGAGCCAGGCTGAAGATGTCTGTTTTAAGATAAACTCATCAATGGATCATCCAGCTTCCCAGTTATCTCTATGTGGTCACACGACTTGGGAAAGGCAGCTCAGTCAAGAGCATGGAAGTCCATGACAGCCCCTCTCCTATGCAATTTGAAGGTCCATAGATGCTATGTCCTTTGGTTCATTGGTCTGTATGCTGGAGAAAGGACTTACTGGCTTCCCAGTGGATCCACTGTCCCCTGGAGGTCCTGAACTCCCCTGGAAATAGAGGGCAGAGAACAAGATTGATGTCAGTGGAGTTTGGCTCAGCAGTGACACTGCTAGAACAAAAGACATGAAATTCATTTCAAGATTAGGACCACCGAAGATTGCAAAGCTCTATATGTTCATGACATACCTTCTCTCCTTTCAAACCTGGGGGACCACCAGGATTGCCCTGAAATGAAAACCAAACTGTTAAAGTTGTTCAGAAATGAGCCATCAAAGGCACCATTACTGAGAGGAAACACAATCTGACAAAAAACGCCAGATCTACTGTATGTTCTGAATTGTGGCAAAACTTTCAAAGGGATACTTCAAAAAGTGCATTGGCTTGTTGCCCTCTTCCCAGGAGTAAAACAGCTGTCCCCAGCTGTTAGCATGTGTGTCCACCACAGGGAAATCAAAACTCTATCATGGATGACTGAGATTATAACAAAATTCAAAATATATGCTACCCCAGGCAAAAACATTAAACACAATATAGTTCCAATCCATCAGCCACTAAAGTTCACACAGGAAAAGGCAATGGACGGACTCCACATTTTAAACCTCCAGCCCAATCTTCAACTTTAGTTTAGAATGGATTTTTATCAGAAGCATCACTATTAGTGTCAGGGCTCAGGTTCTGGAAGATCCCAGCCCAATTTGGTGGCATTATCTGAATGGAAAAGCACAAATGCAAAGAATGTAAACAAGCATCTGTCACCAACAGACCCTAGGAGGCCAATGCTAAGAGAAAAAGAAGTCTCCTCTTCTAAAAGGACAGCACTGCAAAGAACGGTTTGAGATCTGATTTGGTATAAATACTGGACAACAATTCCTGCTCAGTCAGAAACTGTCATCTATCCATTATCGCTCCCAAGAAAATCTCCCTTCTCCTTCTCCTTCTCCTTCTCCTTCTCCTTCTCCTTCTCCTTCTCCTTCTCCTCCTCCTCCTCCTTCTCCTCCTCCTCCTCCTCCTCTAGCTTCTAGCCAGGTTTGTTGTTCTCTCTGCGGAAGCCCCAGAATTAATCATCTTGATAAACCCTACAGGGCCCTTGAAAAGTTTCACCAGAGCTAGAGCAACATTTTGATATGATGGGGGAGACTCATTAGTGGAATCTTCTTGCTAGCTTATCTTAGTTCAACGTTCTTTGAATTTAGTCTAGGTCCACATTTTCTCAACCAAAAATAATTCTCCAGGAACACGTATTGCTTCTGAAAGGGTGAAATAGCAGTTTGGGGAAATAGAATGTTTAGGCCAGAATTATGAAGTAGAGAAGGGTTAAATGCTCTTCCCTCCCTTACTGCAATTTATCTGCTTTCACCCCAACTTCCATCCATGTACTTGAATTGGAAAAATAAGCTGAGCTGTAGAAGATGCTCTTCATGGTGTTCCCATCATGTCCTAAGTAGTTTAGGTCTTATCTGAATTATAGGTTTAATGTATTAGTACAGAAAGTATCAGCAGGTGGCAGTATCTGGCTGACCTAGTCTGTGCATAGAAGGTTAGCCAGGTTGAACATGGTCAGTATTTGGATGGAAGATCCTTATGAGAATATCAGAGTTCTACACTAGACTGGGACATGAAAACAGAAGAAGGCAATGACAAGTTACTGTTCCCAAGAAAAATACATGGAGATTTCATGTATCAGGGGCCACCAGGGGTCAAGTTTCATTTGAAGGAGACTCTACTTTTAAAGATTTACCCTCCAAGAAGGATAGTAGTGGTGAGTCAGAAAATAATCCTTACTGGTTTTCCTGGAAGGCCAATTCCAGGTGGACCTGGCAACCCAGGGGGTCCTGGTTCCCCAGCAAGCCCTTCGGGGCCAACAAAACCTGGGTCCCCCTAAGACAAAAACACAGCCATTAGTCATGTTTCTCTATCAGAAGAATACCCCCTCCCCCATCCATCTTCAACTAGCACAATACCTTCTGGCCTTTGGGTCCTATCACACATATCTCTCCAGGTCGGCCCTAGAAAATAGCAAAAAAACAGGGTTTGTTAGAAGACAAGCCCTCTTTACACTTAATGCAATTCACTTTCGGGCTCTTCTGAGATGGAATCTGGAACTCTGTAGGCTGAAGGTAAATTTTAGACCAGGGACTTACTTAAGCCTGCATGTGCTCAGCTCTCCCTTTAAGTTAGGAAAAGAGTAGGAAGCGGGACCAGGAATATTAAGCCTTTTGATTGCCTGAACCTGGCATACATTTCTTCATACTGGTGGAATATGGCTCAGCTTGGTCAACCGTCCTCAAGTCATGCAACCGTTTGGCCTCTAATGCAGCTACCTTGACCCAATTCCACCTGTACAGGATAGCAACATAGCTGAATAGGATGTGAGAATATGTAAATACTGAGAATAAAAAGCCTGGCTCTGCCCCACACCTCAAAGGTACAAAAGGGTGAATTCCTGTTCCCAGTAAAAATGGTGTTGGGCAGTGATATAACTCTCAGAGCATCTTTTGAGCATCATCTTATACAGAACAGGAAAACAAGGGAGCAGCAGCAGCAGGAAGGACATGGCAGCAAAGAGAAAGCAGCCTGTTGTACAACTTACATCTCGCCCAGGGCTGCCTGGTCTGCCTTGAAGCCCAAAGTCACCTTTATCACCCTTCTGCCCCTGTGGAAAATAACCAAGAAGGACAGGATTTAGTAGGCAATCCAGTTTTAATTCAGCCACAATTTAAGTTCCCTCAGCTTACAATTTCATCACCAACTATAGTTCTCTGAACTGCTACTTCTGCAGTTGGTATTAGGACTTGTTAACTGAACAGTGAACCACTATTCTTACTCATATCATGCTTTCCATGATCATGTATTTACATTCAAAAGGGAAGGGCACGCTTCCTGTAGCAGAACTGCCTGGCATGAAATGTGCGGGAAACAATTTGGACCACCTTCCCTTGAACTTGCTACCTTTATTCTCCAAAGCTGGGAAGCAGAGATGTGCAGATGGGAGCAAATTGTCAATTCAATCCAATCAGATGCTTTGAATCAATTTGGGAACTCTGTCGTGATTTAGTTTTGAAGCTTTGAATCATGTCAGATCAGATTCTGAACTTTGGCTCAGTTGTATCCCCTTCTAATTGAATCTCTAAACTGAATCTTTGCACAGCCAATTAGAAGACTTGCCTTTTGCCCGAGAGATCCAATCAATCCTGGAAGCCCCTGGAAACAACAAAAGTATTCATTAATTAGCAATGTAGAAATTTATAGTCTAAACTATACTAAAACTTAAGAACCAGATACAATGAAGAATTAATTTTATATCTCTAAAACAGCCACTGTCCAGAAGTGTTGGCTTGAGCTCTGGGATTCAAAGTCCACCATATCTAAAGAGCACCAAATTGGAAAAGAATGCTGGCTTGGGGATTTACAAATGTGTTATTTGGAGTGGCGATCTCAATTTATTTATGTGAACAGACAGTCTATGGAATGAAATATGTAGAGTCTTCAGAAACTAAAATTCACCCACTGAAAGAACATGACGGAAGATGAGCTCTGAGAGTTGGCCAACACCCAACATTATTTTCCTGATAAACTGTTTTGCCATCTGATGGATCTGCATATGTTTTCCCTTTTTAGTGGTCTGGGGGTTGAACTAGCAGTGAGAGGGACATTGGATTGCATATCAACTCTACAGCTCTGTTTTGGTCTTAATCTCTTTTTTGAACATGTGGAGTTTAAGGAGGCTTTTGAAGGAAATGGTGACAATGGCAGTGGGGAAAAAAAGCTAGCCATAAAGCTGCCCTCTTGTCATAAAAAAGATGGATTCTAGATGCCCATAAGTAAGATGTTCTGAGGGTGGGAAGCATATCTCAGGAAGAGAAAAGACAGAAGAAGCCAGGACATAGGAGAGAGCATGGAGAGGACTGGTGAACTCTAGAGTTGGAAAGGATCATTTAGACCAGTGTTGTCCAAACTTGGCCACTTTAAGGTGAGTGGACTTCAACTCCCAGAATTCCCCAGCCAGCA